CATCTACAGCAGGTGCTCAAAGTGGCCACCCCCTTCTGAGCGGCACAGCTCAGCCCGACGGCGTGTGTGACGCGCCATCTTTCGCAGCTGCTCTTCGTCCATGTTGCGGGCGAAGTCCTCAACCAGTTCCTTCAGCTGTTCCAGCGTTTGGGGCTCGCTGCGCACGATCTGAGCCGTCACCAATGACCAGAAACAAAAGTCCAGACAAGACAGGTCGGGACTGTATGGCGGCCATCGGTGTTCACTGTTCCGGGAGATGACGCGGCCGCCGAACTTCGAGTGGAGGAAGTCCATCACGGGAGCAGTGACGTGCGGCGGCGCGCCGTCCTGCTGGAACCAGTACTGGTGGCGCGTCGCCCGAGCCCTCACCGCAGGCCACACCACCGTCTGCATCATCTCCAGGTAGGCGTCGCTGTTGACGGAGCCAGTGAACCAGTGAACTGGCTGGCACTTCCCATCCACCACGCCCACCCACGCCATCACCTTCTGCCCCTGGGCCTTCTTGCATGGCACGAGCTTGTTCGGATTCTCTGGCGACCAGCACACGGTGTTCTTCTTGTTTGGAGACGGATGCAGAACAAACCACTTTTCGTCACTCCAGAGTACACGCTCAAACCACTCCTCATCATGGGTTAGCCAGAATTCACAGGAGTCCATCCTGGCCATCCGCGTCATCTCCCGGAACAGTGAACACCGATGGCCGCCGTACAGTCCCGACCTGTCTTGTCCGGACTTTTGTTTCTGGTCATTGGTGACGGCTCAGATCGTGCGCAGCGAGCCCCAAACGCTGGAACAGCTGAAGGAACTGGTTGAGGACTTCGCCCGCAACATGGACGAAGAGCAGCTGCGAAAGATGGCGCGTCACACACGCCGTCGGGCTGAGCTGTGCCGCTCAGAAGGGGGTGGCCACTTTGAGCACCTGCTGTAGATGAACAGTGGCTTGCAGGTGTATAATAGTGTGCAGTACAAAATGTCCCACGATGACGAGTCTAATGACGTGTCTTTTGTCTGGTGTGCTATTGAATACACATCTGCACGTGCCACTTACTTTATCTCATTCCCAAATGATCACCCGGTACATCATCAAGACATGCAAGTCTTTCCGCCTACGTGTGGAGAAGGTCATTGCCGATAAGGGGGTTATATCGCGCATGAGGTGAGTGAGCGTATCTGGTTTGATAATGCGTGACCCATAAGAAAATTTTTATTTTTTCTGGGTCACGGACCACTTTACGCGCATGCGCAATGGCATTTTTGAATAATTTCAACTGTGAACAGCCTAGGGTGCATGGTTTATGAAAAGGTAATGATTTCTAGGAAATCAGTTGTGGGACAAATATCGACCCAAATCTCCACGAATTTTGACGGGTACCCATATACCGCTGCTTTCCTGGCGCTGCGCTCCGAGTCCGAGGTTTATCTCAACCCTCAACACACGAAAAAACCGGGAGTGTGACTAAAAACGCCCCTACCTATCAAGACGAAGACTGGAAACCCGACCCCCCCCCCCCCACTCAAAAATCCGTGGCGACGCCCCTGGTGTATACTGATGTGTGCATCGATTGCTTGTGTCCATATTAGATGAAATCATGATCTGAGAAGCTTTTACCAAAAATGCAGTCAAAAGACTTCACAAAAAGTAAATTCCGCTTGCCTAAAACGCAATTATCTTAGATGACCTAGGTTGACCTTGACCCTGACCTTGACATCTGTACACTCGAGGGCAGATTGATGTTCCACCACTCCCAACTCATCGGGCTCCCATGGCTCAGCACTGGCTGCTGCCAGTGTTGCCTGTCCTCAGCACTAGTCAGCACTGCCTGCCAGTGCCAGTGCTGCCAGTGCTGCCACTGGCAGCAGCCAGTGCTGAGCCATGGGAGCCCGATAGGTAGGGAGTGGTGGAACATCATTCTGCCCCCGAGTGTACATCGTTGAACAACATGTTCCATGATAGGTGGGAGGTAAGACTGGCAAAAAAAGGCCGAAATCAAGGTGTCAAAAGCTCACAAGGCCCATAGCCAACGCAAGATGTTGAGAATTGGCCATTTGGGTCAAGACATAACCTGAAAAACAAGGTCACATCTCTGAAACCAAAAACCACAGAAACTTGAAATTTTCAGTGGACATCAAGAAAGGATAGAGGAGCAGCTATACGAAAAATCAGCCTTCTACCTCTAAAAATGTTTAGTGCAGAGGCCAGAGCAGAAAGACTACGCTAGACAAGACTCTAGAGGCTACTCTAGAGGCTAGACAGAAAGACTGTGCGGGTGAGGCTTAACACCCCACATTGGGGTGCTAAGGGTCGGGACAGTGATGAAAAATAATAAAAAATAATATGCAGGTAAATATTTAGGTATATGTCAAGTTTAGGTCCTAACTACAATTGTGACGCTATTGATGTGAATATGTAACAGCAAAATTGTAGGTTTTAGGTTAGGTTAGGTTGTAGGTTTTAGGCTGTAGGTAGGTAGGTTTGTATGAAAAATATGAAAAATTTATCAATGAACTCTGCTTAGGACTTAAACTTGACATTTACCTATATTTTTACAACTTAAATCAAATGTAGCAGGCATGTAAAGCACCAAATTCCACATAAAATGCTGACAATTTGATGCTTCTATTCTTGAGTTATATAACAAAAAACCTCAAAACTGTCCCTTAACACCCTGTTTTATGGTACTTTTTTATTTGTTTAAGAAATTTTGTCTGAATGGATGAATGGGTGGCTATGGGCCCGGGTGCCCCGCTAAGCAGAGCTTGTTGCGAATGACACCACGGACCCACCACCCCACCTTGCCAGCGTCCGGTTCACCGGTGATAATTTGGATCGAAAGTTTAACGTGCCGCAGGTAGATGGCGGCACGGTCCTCCCGGGTCTAGAGTGGCCCTCTCTCGCCAGTTGCCAGCTGGCTTAATATAGGAATGCAGGTCAAACGACGTGGAGCTTCCCGGCCGCGAACTCGCTACGACCGAGTTAGGAGACGGACGCCTTATCCACTAGGCCACTGGGAGGACAAATTACTTTTGATTATTAAATCTCGAAAAACTAGCTACTTTTGCCTTGTAAAAGTAGCTAGGCAAAAGTAGAACTACCTACCTTTGACTAGTAAATCTCAAAAGACTCGCTACTTTTGCCTTGTACCATTTAACAAATTTGATTTAGACGAAGGTCTGCGACCAACATATCATCAATTCATCAATAAATAATTATATTGATTCATTTTGTCCTTTTCCGAGGAGAAGGTCATATATTCTAATGATACTTCCTACATTTCTAATTTCTCATGTAATTCAAGTCTTTTTTCAGAGTCTTTCTTTTGGCCTGCCCCCACCGGCCACCGCCCTGCCCCCCGTTTAAACGGCTCCAGCTGATTACGTAAGACTTCTTGATCACCTACCTACCTCAACGGGAAATCGGTAGCATGCAATCGACCAAAGAAAACGTGATATTACGAGCAGAAAACGGCATAGGTACATGGAATTTGCTCAAAGCTTACCTTAACTAGGAACACCTGCTAGAAAAGGGGACGTCCCACGCCTGTCTGGATCACGGGGTACTGGGCAAGTACCAAGGCAAGTACAGGGCCCTGTTTCACCGGTGATAGCAGCAAGCTGCTATCACGTTTCGCGAGCTGACGTCATGTCGTGACGCCATACTGTTGTCGTAATGGGTAGTTCCGGCGCACGATTGCCGCGACCTTGGCGGCGGCATTAAGTGACGTATGAGCCTAAAAGTAAGAGTTTACGCAGTCATGATAGTATATATATTTTTGATATATATTTTTTCAATATGATGTATTTAAAAGAAGTTGGGTTTAGGAAAAATTTTGACATTAACTTCGAACATTTAGCTGATGACGTAAAACAATATTGCGGCAATCGTGCGCCAGAATTGCCCCTTACGTCAGCAGTATGACGTCATCACATTACGTCAGCTCGCGCAATTTGATAGTAGCTTGCTGCTATCACCGGTGAAACAGGGCCCTGGGGCCTTGGACGTTCATAAAGTTGGCTTCCAATTCGGATTCGGATGGGCCTTGGGGGGTACTGGGGGGACTTACGGGCCCTGTTTCAGCGGTGATAGCAGCACGCCGCTATCAAATTGCGCGAGCTGACGTAATGTGATGACGTCATACTGCTGACGTAAGGGGCAATTCTGGCGCACGATTGCCGCAATATTGTTTTACGTCATCAGCTAAATGTTTGAAGTTAATGTCCAAATTTTTCCTAAACCCAACTTCTTTTAAATACATCATATTGAAAAAATATATATCAAAAATATATTTACTATCATGACTGCGTAAACTCTTACTTTTAGGCTCATACGTCACTTAATGCCGCCGCCAAGGTCGCGGCAATCGTGCGCCGGAACTACCCATTACGACAACAGTATGGCGTCACGACATGACGTCAGCTCGCGAAACGTGATAGCAGCTTGCTGCTATCACCGGTGAAACAGGGCCACGAAAAGTGGTGAATTTTGACGTTTGTGGAGGATTGTCGACGAACTCTTGTTCCGCGAGCAGTACTTACACGCTAGCGGAAAATCCACCAATCAGCGCTCGGCAGTACTCGACGATGATTGGCCCAGTGCTCGTGACAAAATTGCGGGGGAACGCAGTGTTATTATCTATGATGGATCCCACTGAACTCTATTATCGGGGTTACATGTAGTTTTCTATTGCCTTGGGTTACATGAGCACAGTAAATACGTATTTAGCCGCTAGGAACTACCCATTACGACAACAGTATGGCGTCACGACATGACGTCAGCTCGCGAAACGTGATAGCAGCTTGCTGCTATCACCGGTGAAACAGGGCCCAGGTTTACGAGGGCCTTCTTTACGGCTACCGGCCATGGATGAAGAATCCATCCCCGCGTTCGATGTCTCTCGGACGGCGAAGATTCTACGCCGTCCGGCCAATCACGTTCCACAACCGCAGCCGAGCCCCCGCTGACCTTGGACGCGATTGGCCGGACGACGTAGAATCTTCGTCGTCCGGGAGACATCGAACGCGGGGCATGTACCGGCACACTCTAGGAGTGTGATTGTTGCAAGGATTTTTTGACGCTTGGGCCAGTTCACAGTTGCTACACGTCTACACGTCCTATACCACATCATCATCATCATAATCATCGAGTGGCGGGACTGGGTGAGTTTATTTCATAAGTTTTTTTTCACAGAGTCACAGGAATTATTTTATTGCTGGAGCTATCAATTGCATATGCAGTGTCAACTGTCATGACTATGCATAATTTATGTTTATTTTATTTATTGACACTCTAAATGGCATAATTAATTCATAATTACAGTGTCCCAATATAACATTTTGGCTTGGGTTTTGGATAGAAAATTCCTCAACTAAAAGGAGATGAGAGTGGAACAGTGGTGTATCCAGGATCTTGAAAAGGGGGAGGCCAAACCTGCTGAAGGGGCTCCACCCTTACCTTAGGGCGTAGGTGTAGGAACGTTTTCGAAAGTGGGGGGGGGGCAGGCTCCCAGAGGCACAAAACCTCACCTACCCCCAAAATCCATTTTCTCCTCGGATTTCGGACACTTTATTTTCGCAAGCATGCTCAAATTGGAAAAAAAACGTGACAAAAAAATCAACCAAAATCTCGGGGAGACTCCCGTCCAGAAATTGAATCTCATGGACGCGTCCCCCTGGCCTCCGCAGCCGCGTTGGCACCAGGAGCGGATCCAGGAAAACTCCAAGGGGAGGGTCATGAATCGAATAAGTGCCCCTACCTAGTACCTATACCCAAAATTAAAACCTCAACTGATTTCGGCCACTTAATTTTGGTGTTGCCCTATTTTCATTTTTTATTTGTTTTTGCCCTGGCAGGCCTGTGGTGCCCCTGGTGGGCCTGTGGTGCCCCTGCTAGGCCGCAGGTGCCCCTGGCATGTTTGTGGTGCCCCTGAAAGGACTGTGGTGCTCCTTACGAGTCTGAAGTGCCAGCGACAGGCCCATGGTGCCTCTGCGAGGCCGGTGGTGCCCCTGCGAGGCCGTGGTGCCTCTGCTAGGCCGCTGGTGCCCCTGGGCCCTGACAGGACTGTGGTGCTCCTGACAAGCCTGAAGTGTCCCCGACAGGCACGTGATGCCCCTGACAGTCCCAAGGTGCCCCTGCGAGGCCAGTGGGTGCCCCTGGCAAGCCTGTGGTGCCCCTGGCAGGTCTGTGGTGTCCCTGGCAGACCTGTGGTGCCCCTGCTAGGCTTCTGGTGCCCCTGGCAAGCCTGTGGCGCTCCTGAAGGGACTGTGGTGCCCCTGCCCCTGGGCCCTGACAAGCCAGAGGGGTGTTCACGGGCACCGCACACTGCTGCGTGCGGTGTGTGCAGTGCGTCCAGCAGGCGTGGGGGTAGGGGATGGGTAGGCGGTTCTGACGTCACGGCTGCGTGCGGTGGACGGTCCGCTGTGGCCAGTCCCGACCGGCCACAGCGATCGCTGTGTGCGGTGACGGAAAGCTGACGTAGGGACGAAGTGGGCGGAGCTTCGAGGCTGTGTGCGGTCCGACCGCACACAGGGCCCGTGAACAGCCCTCTGAGGTGCCCCTGACAGGTCCGTGGTGCCCTTGACAGGCCCAAGGTGCCCCTGCGAGGTCGGTGGTGCCCCTGGAAGGCCTTTGGTGCCCCTGGAAGACCTGTGGTGCCCCTGACAGGTCTGTGATGCCCCTGGCAGACCAGTGGTGCTCTTGCTAGGCCGATGGTGCTCCTGACAGACCGGTGGTGCCCCTGTCAGGCCTGTGGTGCCCCTGATAGGTTGGTGGTGCCCCTGGTAGGCCTGTGGTGCCCCCGGGCCCCAAGGGGACATGACCCATGTGACCCCACCTTGGATCCGCCAGTGGTTGGCATGGCACCCATGCAAATTCCAGAAGCATCCAAAAACATTTTTTATTACGAGCGAGCGTGGAACGTGAGAAGTGAAAAGTCAGCAAAATGTGTGTGTGTGTGTGGGGGGGGGGGGGGGCAGTTAACATTGCTGGCCCCCATTCGAAAGTGGGGGACCATTGCCCCCTGCCCTCCTGTTCCTACGCCTATGCCAGTAACCGATCAACTAATGCAAGGCAGCCTAACATAAATTGTTAGTTTACGCCGTTTACGCATTCTGCTGCGCCAGTATTGTCTCTCTTTGCAGCGCGCGCTGCCCCTAAGCTGCCACTTATTGCTTCTGACAAAGTTACCTTTCATTGGGTGGAGGAAAATTGCACTCAATAACGATGAAGCACAAATGGAAATCTTCATGGAAGGGCAGGCCCGAGAACCGTCAAGTTTGTTCTACGGGGTGACTACAAATACATTAAAAAGTTCGGCAAAAAGTGGGGGGGGGACCAGTGAACATTACTGCCCCCCCCCCACAATGAAAAGTGTGTGTGTGTGTGGGGGGGGGGGCACCGGCCCCCCCGCCCCTGTTCCTACACCTATGCCTTAGGCCAGGGGCACCAGTGGTAGCATACCTACTTAACCCGCACCCTGCTGGGGGGGGGGGGGTTGAACACCCCTCCCCTGCTGTGGTTTTTGCACACCTTATCATAATCAATTCTACAGTAGCTGCGGAACACCTTCAATTAAGGGGGGGCACTGCCGACTTTTGGTCCCATTCTTTCCATGCAACGCCCATAGCGCTAATGTTAAAATGCCAAAATCAAAGAAGGGCACGGTGCCCCGGTGCCCTCCCCGTTCCGCTGCCTATGATGAAGGTCCCGCAATACGTTATGTCAGCCTCTGAGAAAGCCATGCAGGGCCCTGCCAAGCCGACATCTGAAAATCTTCTCCTCAGACCTGTGCCTGCCTCACCGCCCGGCCCCACCCCGACGTCTAGGGGTTTGACGCCTAGGTATTTATCAGGACCCCACACCGGTCCATGATGGCTCCAAACTGACACCTGAGGCTCCTGCATCGGCTTTTGAGGGGCCCACCGACCTCTGATAGCCACCACGCAGGCCTCAAAAGACCATGTCGATTGTCGATATCTAAACCCCGAAGTCTTGGAAGGCCTGTGCTCTATGCAGATTCTTGAGGGCTTTACGTGGGCTTGTAAATATCCCAAACTGGCTCTAGCCTAGCTTGACCGCGCCCCGCAGAGCAGGGCCCCAGGCTTTCCAGTTTTACGCCCCTGAGGGGTGTTTGAATATTCCCTTCTAACCTGACTCCAGGGTCACGTAGCGACAAGTGCGGCGGTAGGCGGCTTTCTAAAGAGCGTCGAAAATCATGGAGAAATTAATTCAGTCATATTGCAGTTCAGACCAAAGCACACGTCATCATGTTCATGGAAGGAAAGGTTTCGCCTATTTCGACACTCAAGGACATAAAAAGCTATAGCGCGCTGAAAGTGGGTTCGATAGCTCTCTAACTCGTGCAATCCGCCATGGGGGGGGGGGGGGGCGTATCGGCCAAACCCGATCATAATTTAAGACGGCTAGAAAGACGAGAAAAGCAACGGATAGCTATACGTAGGATGCTTCAGAATCGTAGAGGTCATTTTTCGATTAGGTCATCGCTGATGTCATTGAAGATGAAATTATGATAAAATTATGATAAACACAAAGACAAGATTACGACGAAAAAATTCTTGTTTTTATATTTTCCACAAATAACCGTATAACTCGTGCACCAAAGAGCTAGAGCCTTGCGGAACAACTCATTCGATAGGCCTTTCAAAACGCCTTCGCTTTTAAGATTTGACCTCAATGCCTCATGTCAATGGTTTGGCAACAGAGTAGAGGGTAAAACCGGCAAAACCATCTAAATAGTCGCATTTTACCAAAACAGTTTTGCTAAGAATTTTTGCAAGGACTTTGGTGATAAAAACTATGAGACATTTACTTTGTCATCATTCTCTTGTTAACACGCATCGAATGAGCTACCTATAATTTCACATAAAAAGTTCAACTTCAAAATGTGACCGCAGATCAAGGTCATGCCCTTACTTGAGAAGTTCATGATGGTCATCAACCGATCCTTATGGATGATTAACACCTTCAAGACAATGTCATAACTCTACCTCGTCTCCTATATCAAAAGTAAGAGTCGAAAAACTGATGTTGAGCTCTTTTAAAAGCCTTTTGACCTAGCCCGACCCTTTGAGTGGCCGCTGGCCATCACTTGCACGCTGTCTATCAAATATGGACAGAATGGTCGTGTTTGTGTAAATATGCTGTTGTTTTTTACGTGCCTCTTCAGATCAAGAGATATTTATTTGTCCTTTTCCCCGATTTGGCTGGTAAGGATGACAATGATCTGACCTTTCGTTGTTGGTAAGGGGCCCCCATTTGATTGAGGGGGGCCCACTTTGCTGGGGGGCCCATCGCGAACGTCTCTCACCCCCGTCGCCAGAGTTCTGGCTGCGCCACTGAGCATGCAGATAGGTCCCAACCGTATTGCCCACCCAGTTAAGCTGTTATCCGAGGCCCTGACATAAAATCTCTCGTGCAGAGGTAGCTTCCCCCCAAGAGAGTGCATCTAGTCCAGAGAGGGTCTCCTGTGAAAGCGCGCTTCCTGTCTCTAGTTCAGACTGGTGTTCGATTCACACGTGATTGAATCGATTGGATTGAATCAAACAAAATTTGTTGAATCAAAAAGGTTTGATTTACCGTCAGGGCTGTTCGATTCACAAGCCATGATTGAATCAAACGCATTTGGAATCAGGGTTGATTGAATAATGATTCATGAACTAAAAAAATGAGGTTATCATAGCTCATTTTCAACAATACTGCTAAGTTATAATAATTGTATGACAACAAAAAGAACACAACGAATATAATACTATCCCTGAATCAGGGATATTTTTGATTAAATCGAAAAAAGAATCGTTCAATAAGTTTTTGGCTGAATCAAACGTGAATCATTCCCTTTTTATTCTCTGAATCAAAATAAATCGATTCACCAATTTTTCTGCACGAATCGAACAGTGATTAAATCGAAAAATTGAAATGAATCAATGTTTGAATCAATCCAAAAAATGTGAATCAATAACCAGTGTGCTCTTGTCGAGGAAGGGTCTCTTGTATAGAGGGGGTCTCTCATCCAGAGAGGGTCACTTGCCAGATGGTGCGTACTGGCTCCTGGCTAGATAAGGCCTCTTATGTAGAAGGGGCCTGATATCCAGAGAGGACCTCCTGCCAGAGGGAAATTTTTATCCAGAGAGGGCCTCCTACCTAGGGAGCGTCCCCTACTAGAAAGAAGGGGCTCCTGGCTCCAGCCCAGATAGGGCCTCCTCTTATGCAGAGAGAACATCCCACCCAGAGAGGGCCTCATGTCCAGAGAGTGTTTCCTGCCGGGGGGGGGGGGGGGGCATCGAGGCTGTTGCCCAGATAGGGCCTCTTGTGAAGAGGGGCCTCCTATCCAGCGAGGGCCTCTTGCCCAGCGAAGGTCTCCTTCTAGAGGGGATCCAGAGAGAGTCCTGCCAGAAGGGGCCTCTTGTTGAGATGGAGCCTTCCATCAAGAGAGGGCCTCCTGCCCATAAAGGGTGTCGTGCAAGAGGCCAGAGGGGCCTCCTGACTCCTGTCCAGAGAGGGCCTCTGTGCAGAGGAAGCCTCGGGGTCTCCTGTCAATAGAGGAGCTCCTGCATGATGGGGCCTCCTGGCTCTTGCCGAGCTAGGACATTTTGTGCAGAGGGGCCTCCTGACTGCTGCCGAGATATTTCCTCTTGTGCAGAGAGAGCCTCCCATCCAGAGAGGACCTCCTGCAAGAGGACAGAGGGGCCTCCTGACTCCGGCCCAGAGAGGGCCCCTGCGTCGAGGAAACCTCGGGGCCTCCTGCCCAGTAAAAGATCTGCCAAAGGAGGCCTCCTGGCTCCCACCTAGATAGGGCCCTCTGTGCATAAGGGAGCCTCCCATCCAGAGGGGCCTCCAAAGCAGAAAAGGTCTCCTGACAGAGGGGACCTCCTGCTTCCTGCCCAGAAAGGGCCTCCTGTGCAGAGCGAGCCTCGGGGCCTCCTGCTCATGAAGGATCTCCTGCCAGAGGGGGCCTCTTGATTCCTGCCCAGATAGGGCCTCCTGTGAGAAGGTGCCTCACATCCAGAAGGGGCCTCCTGTGCATTAAAAGTCCCCTGCCAGAGGGGGCCTCCTGCCCATCAACCGTCGCCTACCAGAGTGGGCCTCCTGACGCCTACCCAGAAAGGGCCTCCTGTGCAGAGCGAGCCTCGGGGGCCTCCTGTCCATGAATGATCTCCTGCCAGAGGGGGCCTCTTGATTTCTGCCCAGATAGGGCCTCCTGTGAGAAGGTGCCTCACATCCAGAAGGGGCCTCCTGCCGATCAAGGGTCGCCTACCAGAGCGGGCCTCCTGGCTTCTGCCCAGATAGTGCATCTTGTGCAGAATTAAAGTAGGTCAGGCAGGAAAGGCAAGTAAGAGTATCCGAAGTGGTGCTCAGGGAGCCTCCTAAAAATGCCCGAGCGGGGGGGGGGCGAGACCCCCCCCCCTCCTTGGGTGCGCCACTGAACTGATTCTATTTTTGCTTTTTCAGGCTGTTGGGGTGGCGCGGCGCGGTCTCTGGGGTATTGCCGGCGCCGCCCCGCCGAACGCTGTCAGGCCGCCGCGGCGATGAACGACTCGGCGCCGCCGGCAGTGCAGATGCTGAAGCCCAAGGTGGTCTCCGAGGTGCTGGGACAGGCCGTCACCGACGGAGTGACAGGCGCCATGTGAGTCCTTTCAGTCTGCTCCGGTGGCTGGCATCCCGAGCCTCCGCGTGCTCCACACGACCGACTAAAATCAACATTACGGATGACGTCATTGGGGCGCAGGTGGTCGGCTCGGTCGCCAGGCCTTCGCGCCAAGTTGTAGCGTAAGCATAGAATTGGACGGTTGATTTACCTGGAGTTTGAGAGTTGTTCCTCTCCATTTCCTTTAACCTTCGCCCCAGTGGATGGGGGGGGGGGGGCATATGTTACCACCCTGTCGCGTTTTTTGCGTGTAAATAAAAAACCGCGGCGCGCCGCTTAGCGTAGCTTTTTGTACATCAATTTTGGACAATGTGTGAAATTTTTTACTTCAGGTTGTCAGGTCAGGTCACCAGGTCAAGTTAACTGACCAAGCCTAAAAAGGTTTGCAATCATGTCCAGCCTGCAGTGTCTGTCAGAAAGGTTTCAAACTTAGTGGATTGCATGATGTTATGGGCGCCTACAATTTGTATATCTCGGATTTTTTATATCCGTGACCTAAGGTCAGGTCAGTGGCGTGACCTTACTATAAGGCAATGAAGAAAAATGGAAATGCCTCTAGATCCGTGTATACGCATAGGAACAGTCCAAATATTTCAGAATCACAATTATTTGGACCACCCGTGACGACCAAGGTGTGTTTTTTGCTGATAGCCTCTAGAAAGGTCATCTTAGGTCATTTGAGGCTACAAATAGATTTTTGCCAATAACTCTCGATTGGAAAGAGATAGGACGCTGGGGATGGCCTCATTGTGTTTGTCTTGTTGAGACGCATCGAATGATATGCAACATGACCTTTTCCGGTCAGGTCATGACCTTGACCTGAGGTCAAATTCTTAAGTTGACCTGCAAGGTCAAATTATAGTTCATTCGACGCGTCTCGTCGAGAGGAACACGATTCTGGCAAAAGAAATGTTGTGACTTTTTTTAGTCAAAACTTATTGTCGAAAAACACATTTCGTAAAAACATCTATTTTTGGAGTCTTTGCCCTCTGGAGGCTAAACTGTTGACCTGAGGTCAATCTTGATGATGACCTTATCAAAAGAAGAGTTCAAAAGCTATCAATTGCTTTTCCATGCGTTTTTCTAGCTATCATAGTTCCTGAGATAAATGCATGTTTTCTCAGAAATATAATGACATTGGCAAATTTTGACCTTTGATGACCTCCAGTGACCTCAATATTGCTCTAAGATGAAAATGACCTAAATACTTTCAAACGTACGCATTAGAGTTGCAAAGTTTTCCCAATGGGCTGCTACCGGCACCGCCCCGCCCCACAAAAATTTTCTAGGATACCGGCATGCTACCACACCCCAAGCAAAAAAACCGCCAAATTACCGGCATACAAAAAAACCTGCATTCTTGATTCTGGCTTACCCCTACATGAGATGCCACATTTTGGCAATTTCAGTAACCGCCCCACCCAGCAGCCACCCATTGTCCAACCAAAACTACCAGCAGCCTGATTTTGGCTGAGTTCGCCCCACAAATACCACAATTTTGAAACTCAATTCTAGTCTACAGCTGTTAAAATATCACCTGTAATCAAAAAGTTATTGCCTACAAAAAACATAAGCACATTCATCAAAAAAGCAAGGACAAAAAGAACTTGAATTACTGAAATGTGTTTCTGAAGATTGCACAGTGAGCAGCAATCACATTTAGGTACCACAAGCGTTCTTATTTTCCACATTCTCCTAAAATGTTGCATGTACCAACCAAATAATGAACTATAGATAGTCACAAATCACAATATAAAAAAACTACAGATTCGGCCATGTTCCTAACTGAGGAAGCGAGATCAACATTGGCTTTTTCCTATCCGCCAAGGCCATCCTATCAGCCAGGTTACAGGACAATTTGCCGAACTGCATTTTGCCGAATGTTTATTCGCCGAATGTCAATATGTCGAATGCATTTTGCCGACGTGTCTTTTTGCCGACGTGTCAAAAGGGCGAAGTGCTAAAAGTCGAAATGCAATTTGCCGACGTGCAATAAATCGAAATGTCAATTTGCCGAAATGTAATTTGCCGAAATGTCAATTTGCCGAAAAGTCAATTAGTCGAAATGTCAATTCGCCGAAATGCTAATTTGCCGAAATGCTAATTAGTCGAAATGTAAATTTGCCGAAGTGTCAATTAGTCGAAATGTCAATTTACCGAAAAGTCAATTAGTCGAAAATCGAAATGTCAATTTGCCGAAATGCCAATTAGCCGAAATTAACCTAACCTAACATAACCTAACCTAACCTGACCCGTAAGTATTAACTTTAGGACCGACTCGCTTTTCAAAGGTAAAGAAACCCACTTACATGTCACCAAAGTATAAGAAAAACATAACCAAACCTTACCTTACCTGACCTACTGATTTTGGCCTACCCGTGGATAAGGAAGAAGATACTCACCTGAATAGATTGCAGACAATGATAAGTCAATTATTTTTAGGCTAAGTGGTTGTGCATCAGGCTTCAGGCCGAAGGCCTGAAGCCAGATACACAACAATTTAACCCTCACCGGACCTACTGGTTTTTTACATACGCGCCGGCCGAGGTGGTAATTGCTGAAAGGCGATTTGCCGAATGTCATTTTGCCGAATGCATTTCGCCGAATGTCATTTTGCCGATGTGCTTTTTGCCGACGTGTCAAAAAGTCGAAATGCCATTTGCCGACATGCCTTTTTGCCGAAGTGCCTATTTGCCGAAATGCTTATTAGTCGTTTCCCCCCTGGTGGGGCTGGCGCGTCGCGGAAAAAAAACGAGCGTGTGCGCCGTTACGAGACGCAGAGATTGATACCCGATTTTAAGGTCCTACGTCAGCCGGTGACCTCTGAGGTCAGGTCAAGTGCCCCAAGGTACAGTTCAGTTTTTGGCGAATAACTTCGCCACAAAGGGCCACAGGGCCGCGATTTTGGCAGCATCGTGTTTGCCTTGCTTAGGCGCGTCAAATGATATAATTTTTGTTTGGGTCAGGTCAACTTAGGGTGTTGACCTCAGGTCACGGTCAGGTCAGCACCCCCAGGTCATGAAATTGGTGGAAAGAAGTCATGTCGCATATCATTCGATTTGGCAGGTCTTCCTGAGTCCATTGGTGGCTTTCCCGACTCGCTAGCTCAATTTGCTCGGGAGTTATTGACGAAAAACTAATATGACCTTGATGACGTCATAAATGACGTAACGCAAGGTCAACATTGCAAAAGTTACGCATCTAACCTTGCAAGGAAGGCGTCAAATCACGATTATGTGTGCTTGAGATAGTTAGAGGTCGTTCCCGGCGCCAGAATAGCAGTTTTCATTTTTCTTCTTGACTTATAATGGTGAGGTCACGAAAATGACCTGACCTTAAATAAACTTTAGGAAAATCTGAGATATACAAGCTGTGAGACTCGCAATGGATATTAGGTCCTGCATGTTTCGTTTCCCTGTGAAAGCTCCTCTGGCCGTGAGGGCGTTGCGAAGCTGCGACATCTGAAGACCGTGCAGAGGTTCACTTATGACATCATAGGTCGGTGACCTGACCTGACTCGAAAATGCGGTTGGTGTAAAAAGATCCGGCTTGAATCAAAGGTCAGCTATGCCAAGTTTCAGCTCTCTATCGCCAGAGCGTTCGGAGCTATCGCAAAAAAACCCTATGGGGGTGCCGCGCCGCCCCCTCGGCCGGCGAGGGTTAACCTAAGAATATTTGACTTACCTTTGCCTGTTATCTCTCCTAAGGCATTGCCTTCGGCACTGCACTGCTTCGCCACGAATAATTTGATGTTTATTTCCACATGGTATTGGTGCTTTTAAACTTGCTTGTGCCATGAAATCAGGAGGTCAAAGGATACCTATCATGTGATTTGCTTTTTACTTGGGGATTGCACCAAAAGTAAATTGGTGATCGGTCCTAAGTAAATAAACACCACCTAACCTAACCTAACCTAACCTAGGTTTGCAGATTGACATTTCGGCAAAGTTATATTTAAACTAATTGACATTTCGGCAAACTGCCAATTCGACAGATTGACATTTCGGCAAATTGACATTTTGGCAAATTGACATTTCGGCAAATTGACCTTTCGGCAAATTGACATTTCAGCAAATTCACATTTCGGCAAGTTGACATTTCGGCAAATTGACATTTCGGCAAATTCACATTTCGGCAAATTTACATTTCGACTAATTGACATTTCGACTAATCGACATTTCGGCAAATCGCATCTCGGCAAATTTACATTTCGACTAATGAGCATTTCGGCAAATTGGCATTTCGGCAAAAAGGCATGTCGGCAAATGGCATTTCGACTTTTAGCATTTCGACTTTTTGACACGTCGGCAAAAAGCACATCGGCAAAATGACATTCGGTGAAATGCATTCGGCAAAATGACATTCGGTAAATCGCCTTTCGGCAATTTGTCCGGACACCATCAGCCATGGCTTGCTGGCTCGTGAGTAAGATACGAATCATGTAAAAATATGTGTTAATAACTCACTTGTCCTGAGAAGTCACCAAATAATATGTATAAAAACGATATAATATCCTCCCCTATCTCAAACGCGGGAACAAACACAAGGTTATCGATTTCGAAACAGATGCGCCATAACACAGTTTTTAACCAGCTGATTAACCCTCGCCCGTATAGGGGGGGGGGGGGTCGAACGGACCCCCCCCCATGGTTTTTCGCGAATAACTCGCGTAAAAAGCGGCCGATCGCGACGAAACTTTCAGTACCCTCGCGTTCATCAATTTCACATCTACCCTGAAAATTTCATGACCCTGACCCAAATGACCTTTGACCTGTGACCTACTTTTCGAGACCATGTTTTGCTGGAATCGCGATTCGGCGTATGTCGGCTCGCATTAGCCGCGCGTTTGCAGTCTTTTCGTGGTTTCAAGCGTTCAAACATGTGATATGATGTTGCCCCCATGCACTAGGGTGGGTGTCAAGGTCACCTGAAGGTCAGGTCAGGTCATTGACCTTTGATGACCTCGGTTCACTTTTTCG